GGCTTGTGAATCTCGCTTGTTTACTCCAACTCTCTGAAGCATGGTGAGCCCAAACAGGTGCTGCCAGCCTGATGATCTTGCTACGTGGCTAATGAGCTGCACTCTGCCTGTCCGCTGCACGTGTGTGAGCTCTGATTGGTCCTGGCCTGGGGGAGGGCTGTTGGAAACGCTATATGAACAGCTGAGGTGTGTAAGAGAACAGAATAGAATAGAAAAGAACAGAACAGCAACAACGAGACAGCATTATAGTGAGAGAGAATGAGATAAGTGAGAATGAAGTGAGAGAGAATGAAGTGAGAGATGTAGGAGAACGATGAAGCAGCATCATAGTGGGTGAGATAGTGAAGAGAATATGAGAGAGAATAAGAGAGAATAAAGGAAGAAAGAGAAACAGAAGCTTGAACCTCACCTTGGTGTCTGTGTCGTGTTTCCGGGACTCTGCTGGACAGAGTCCTGGCTCGCGACAGTCAGGTGCATCATTAAGTTATTAATAGGAGATGTCTCTAATTTTCTCAGTTTTATTTTGTTTTGTTTTTGTCTTTTTTAAATTGGATTTTTCAAATTTCATACAGCATATTTTGTTTATTTAAAACAAAAGTTTATTTACTATTTTTATTTTATGTGTGAGTGCATTGCCTGCATGCATGTAGATGCATCTGTTTTGTGCAATGCCTGGTGGAGGTCGGAAGTGGATGCCAAATCGCCTGGAACTGGAGTTATGGACAGTTGTTTGCCATCATATGGATGGTGGGAAGTGAACTTGGGTCTTTTGAAAGAGAAGTCAGTGCTCTTAATGACTGGGCCATCTGTCCAGCTCCCAAACAGTATATTTTGACCATATTTAGACCCCTCCCTATCTGTATCACTCTTATGGGCTCTCACCTTATTCCATGTACTCTGTCATATATAATAAGGCCTGCTAAGTCAAATTTGTGTCCCCAAATGCCTTTCAGTGTGGTTCTAGCAAGTGGAGCCTGGTTAACCTATCTAGCATCACACATTTAAAGAAATATGACTCTCCCTTTCCCAGTATTCATGGGTTGCAAAATAGTTCCTTAACTAAGGTTGGCCCTTCTCACCCACTCCCCTACTTCTATACTGGGAGTTTGTCAGGCTTGAGCTTGCATGGGTCTTTTGAATGCTGTAACCATTGCTGTGAGTTCCTATGCATAACTTCCCTGATATATGGAAAATTCTGTTTCTTTGTGGTTGTATACCACCTCTGTCTCATAACCTTTCTGCCCCTTCTTCAACAATCATCCTTGAGCCTTGGATAGAAGAGATTTGATATCAGAGTCCTATTCAGGGACATGCCATCTGCAGTCTCTTATTCTCTGTGTTTTAGCCATTTGTTGCTTTCTGCCTTAATCACTACCTGTTGTAGGAGAAGACTTTGCTGGTGAGAGTTGAGATGTGTCTTAATATTCTTTTTGCCTTCTATTCTGCTATGCCCCCTGAGCCTTAGGTGTAGAGATTGCACTGTAAATGTGTCAGAACTGGGCAGTCCACAGACATTTATTCTCTGTGTTTGATCAGTTGTGGAACTTTGTAATAGTATCCATCTGTCACAAAAAAAGCTTCATACATTAGTGGTGAGAAGTACACATCTATAAATATAAAGACACATATTTAGAATATAGTAAGGAATCACAATGTTCAAAATTTTCATTTTTGGATTGTGTTTATTGCATCCTTTAAAATTTCTTTGCCTGCATATAAACCATGTACTCTTCAAGACATGTATTTTACGTTAGGTATGCAATCAATTTTGAGTCATATTTTGTATGGTGTAAGAAATATGTTGAAATGTATTATTTTACATTTAAGTGCCGCACTCTTCAAGTTCTATTTGTTTTCATACTACCAGATATTTCCATTTGCTTCTTGCTAAATACCTACCTAGGTCCCGTGTGGGTCCAGTTCTGGTCTAGGTCTTCCTTTCTCCCACTTTGTGTGTTTGTACATTCACCAATACTAGAAGTTTCTTTAAGTACTATTGCATTATATAAAATGTAACATGCTGTAATATAAGATGCTCAACTTAAATAAATTAAAATTTTAACTGATAAAGAAAAATATGAACTGTAGACATTAATGGGAAAATGAATTTTTATACATGTGTACATTGACTAATGCTTAATTAGGTTATTAATGTAAATAACTACCTCTCTGAGTAATTTAAAGAACTCTTGCTCTTTCTATTCCTTTGCTTTGAAATACGACTTTTAGAATAAGCCTGCTCATATGTATGAAGCTGTGCAAGAGTCATGGATGAGACTGAGATATTTATAGAGCAACTTGGAGGGAATTATTGAGGCATAATTGATTTTTTCTATCCGTTAACATATGTGTATATATTTATTGAGACTTTAGATTTCTTAAGTAATGTTTTGTTCTGTGAAACAGGAAGATCCTGTATGTATTCAGTAGGTTTATAGCTATTACATGTTATTTATTTAAATGTAATTTTATTCATGATTCCTAATTTTTTCTTCAATGAGAAGTGGTAGTCTATGGCTTTCATTGTTAATTTTTAGCCTGTTGAATTAATTGACATAATGGTGTTCAAAACATTCTCCAATTGTTCCTTACAATTTTCATAAAATATGATTAGATTCCCCTCTCCCCTATCCTTGCTTCTCCTTACTGTCCCTTTGGCCAATTTAATGTACTCTGTTATGTTTTGCTATACAGCATAATTTGTGCTCCCAAATGTACTCCAGTGTGGGTCCATCCACTGGAGCTTGGTTAATCTACCAAGAGTCACATCCTTGAAAGACACTGACTCTCCACCCTCCCAGCAGCCATTGGTTGCCAATAGTCCCCCAGGTACCAGGTATGGTTGTTGTATTTTGCTGTTGGTGTTGGTGTTGTTGTTGTTGTTGTTTTAGCAATTTCCCCATGTCTGTGCTGGCATTCTGTCTGCCTTGAGCTTGTGTGGGACTTGCTAATGCTGTCCCCATTAGTCTGAGTTCATATGAGTAACTGACCAACTATTTGGAAAACTCTGTTCCCTTGTGGTCATCCACCAACTCTGGCTCTTAAAATCTTTCTGTCTCTTCTTCCACAATGATCCTTGAGCCTTGGGAGGCAGAAGTTTGATACAGGTGTGCTATTGTGTGTTAATCACCATCTGTGGCATAAGGAACCTTCTCTGCTGAGAGCTGAGAAGTAAATTAATTCATTGGTGTAACAACAAGTCATTGGGAGTCAGTTTAATATGATAACAATTTAGAAGAAAACTAGTATTAGGTTCTCCCCTGTGCCCTGTGGCCTGTCGAGTCTCAAGTTTCTAAGCCTGATAATACCAGTTATAGGCTCTGTCTTATGAAACAGACCTTAAATCCAATTAGAAAGTGGTTGATTTTTCCTACACCAGAACTTAATGTCAAGACCCTATGTAGTGCTGAAGACACTACTACATACATGAACTATAGAACAAACAAAAGTAATCAAGCTGGTGCTGACTTCATAGTCTCATCACTACTGGCTAGTGTTCATGGTGCTGGAAGATGCTATGCGTGCTCCTGGATGAAAAAAAAAAAAATTCTTAAGGAAAAATAAATACAAGGAACATTTACAACTGTAAAAAAATTAATGATAATACTCAACCTTATCTAGCTATGAATCCCGTGAACTACAGTAACAGCTGGCCTGGTAAGATGTGCCTACCAGAACAAACATTTTTAAAAATGATTATGTTTTTTGAGAATCTCACGCATGAGTACTCTATTTGCATTATTTCAGACACTCTCCGTTCCTCTTCTCCTCCTCCCATGCCTTGCAAGTCCCTCTCAAATTTTGTCCTCTTCTTTTAATATTATTAGTATATATAAAGACATTTCTAAATAATTATATATGTATATAAATGTGATACACTGAGTACATCTATTGGTACTTGAGTGTACATGCATTTTGGGGTGACCACTTGGGATTCGATAACCTATCAGGGAGCTTGTCCATGGAGAAAATTAATGCAATGTATTTTAACCGTGCTCATCCCAAACCCCTCTGAGGCTCACACCCTAACAGCTTACTAATTTAATGCCCTCAGCCTTTTTTATAAGCCACCTTGTACAACTTATTTTTTCATCCATATCTTCATAAGTGTGGTGCCCAACTGGGACATGGTTGACCCACCAAAGGCCACACTGTTAAAGAAAACTGACTCTCCTCACACCCAGAAGCCATCAACTGTCAACAGCTTCTCACTTGGGGGTTGGGGTTCAGGAACCCCTCCCTCCTCCAGGCTGAAATGTTAACTACCTTATCTATCTGTTTTTTTTTTAATGTGCATTAAACCTATAGTGATGTAATTCCTGTCCTGGCTGATACTGGTGATTTGTGTCATTTCTACTTTCTTCCTAATAATTCTGTTTTAGTATTTATTAATTTAGGGATCTTCTATCATATCAAGGTTTCAAGCTCATTATGTGAAGGAACATGTGTATTACAAATAATTTCTTTTTCTTTTATACTTTATTTTAGCTCTGAGTGTTATTCTTTTCTTTTGACTACTCAATTTGGTTTTAATTTCTTTTGTTTTCTGCTGTCTTTAGGGTAAGGTTCAGGTAACTGACATGGGGCCCTATTCCTCTCCAATATATAAATCCATTGCAGACAACTTATGCCATGCTCTTTGATGTTCAACAGGTTTATATATGTGGTTCACCCACTAAACACGGATTGAGTGGGTGGCATTACCAAAATGGTTTTCTGGAATATAGTAAGGTATTGCCACAAAGGTCTTTTCTTTCACATTTATCCCCATCTATTGACTAATGCAATAGCACGTTGTTGGAATGCTTTGCCTTTCGTGCCTGGGGTTGGAAACCAGGAGGATTAGCTGTTTTAAATTTTGTGTTGGAGATGAAGTGTGTCTTATTATTTTGATCCATTTTAAATTTTATTAGACTAGTTTGGAAAAACTCTGTCTCTAGAATTAATTTATTCAGAGTTTTAATAAAAATGCTGCTGGATCTTTCTAAATGATCTAGATGGTCAAAGGACTCTTCACTTTTCAAACTTGAGACTCTCACATTGTTGGCATTGACCTTACTATTTAAGGGTACTCGTTTTTCTTCTGGGTTCTTCTGGGATCACGGAGTTGTGAACTGTGCTGCAGTATGCTGGCACCTAGCCAAAGGAATGAGAGGACGGTGGTGCAGACCTCAAGAGTTCTGCTGCTCTGTGGACTCTCCCTTCTCTGGTTTCTATACCACAGGTCCTTGTGAACTTGCTCTCTTTGAGAGCAGTGAGCTTTTTCTTCTGTTTAACAAACAGTCATTATCTAACTGAGTTCTTCCTCATTGTGCTGCTTTGGGGGAATGTTTTTGGGAACATTGGGGTTTTTTTGTATCTGCTATTTGAAATTTTATTATATTCCTTTTTAAAATCATTACTTTATTAACTTACTCTTGTTTGACTTTTACTTGATCTGTGCTCGTCTTTGTAGTTTTTAAAAATGCGTCCCTCTGTGTTTACTTCCTTTTTCTAACTTCTGAAAATGAGAACAACTATTTATTTTTATTCTTTTTTAGCTAGTTGATATTTCTGTCCTGTAACCACTTTAGTCTTAGCTCACAGTGTTCTAGTTGATGTTTCAATCACATTTCTATAAAGTGTTTAATGTTTTCAATCCTTCCATTATTTCCTTATCCATAAATAAACAAAGCCATGTTCTGGGAAGAAACTTAGTAACTGGCAGAAATCTACTTTTACAGTTTAAAGCTCAGTTATACAGGTTTTGAAGAGTCATCATTTTCGCTTGGGATGATTAAGCAAATTGCTGCTAACCTCTTTTGAGCATCTTGTTGATTGGCTTTCACAATAAATGCTAGGTGGTGATACTTTATTTTGCTATTTAGATAGTTCCTGTGTGAATCCACCACATGTGAAACATGGAACTATGTTAACAAGGTCCGTGGTGAAGTATGCATCTGGAGAGAGAGTGCTTTACCAATGCAATAACCATTTGAACGCTTTGGGAAAGTGGAAGTGATGTGTCTAAATGGAATTTGGCCACTTCAATGCAAAGATATAGCACCACATTTCCTGATTTTCTTGAGAATATATATTGGATAAAGTATATTAGTGAAAACAATGTGAAGTGTAAAGTATTTTCAAATATGACCTGAAGTATAAGATGAAATAAACTCTTTACTCTCCCCAAGCTGATTTTACTCAGTGTTTTATCACAGCGACAGACAGTTAACAAGAAGAAAGTTATTCCCCAAATTACATCAACAAGTCATGCACTTTTAATGTAAACTATACATTGGCAATGTCCAAATGTATGTCCTATTTATAAGGTACCTTCAAATGTCTAGTCTATATTTCAGATCTCTGTTTTTAGATCATTTACATGTGAAACAATTACTTATACATTCAGGATGCCTGTCATATTTTTAATTTGCATTTGTTTTCTCTGTTTATCAGTCTTATTTCTCTTTTGCTCTTTTTCTATAGAGGAATAATTTTGAAAATTTTTGTTTTAATTTGTCTTTTACTGTTTTTGAACATATAACTCTGACAGCTTCCAACTCTTTTATTGAAATTACTCTAGGTGTTTGTGTGAGACTGAACTTGGGTCCTATGTAAGAGCTGTGCATGCTTTCACCATCTGAGCCATCTCCACACCTCCTCCTTTACTCATATTGATCACATCAGGGAACCCGATATTAGTCCTTTTACCTCCTGCAAATTTGTAATCTTTCAATTATTTTCAATAAATGGATATGTCTAGGGTAAAGGCAATGAAAATCAAGAAAGTATGACAAGAGAGACAATAAATACTACATTATATTTAAGAACAATTTAAGGCTGTGTGTTCTCTTCTCTTACGTAATTCATTAAATGTACTGGAACACTGCAAAGTAGACATGTTATAGTTTATTAAGTACCTTCAGTGAGGAAAAAAGAGAGAACTTGAAAATTTAATTCACCATTTTTATGATAAAATCTCTTCAAGAAATCATTTCTGTAGCTAGAAATCATAATTATATATAACATTGTATTTGTAATTACTTTTACTTGGCCCTGTATTTTGACTTGGTCTCACAAAAAAATGAAATGTTATCTTTTAGATTTAACAGGAAAATGTGGGCCTCCTCCACCAACTGACAGTGGAGACATTACCTCCTTCCCATTGCCAGTGTACCCACCAGCTTCATCAGTTGAGTATCAGTGCCAGGCCCTCTATCAACTACAGGGCAGCAAGACAATAACATGCAGAAATGGAGAGTGGTCAGAGCCTCCAAAATGCCTACGTAAGTGTCAACTCTTGTGGGTGCTGGGAAAATATGTTTGATGATTGTGACATCTTTCTATTCAGACAGAACACTCACAGATTAACAATAACCATTTTGCCTAATGCTTGATTGCCCAATATCAGGATGTGAGGAAATCAAAATTAATAAATTATTTTTTTATATTAAATATTTGTCAAATACATTAGTCATTATTTTTTAGTTTAAAATGTGTTTATTTTTGTATAAAAGGAGGTGTGATATTTCCATACCTATATGCACCTTTGAATGACTAAATCCCTCCCATGCATCCTTCCCTGACATACACCTCTCCAACATCTATTGACACTATTATGCATTCAAATAGATTTTTAAAAACAGTTTCTTTATTTTTGTTTTATGTGTATGCGTGTATTCCCTGCATGTAGGTAAGTGACCCGTGTCGTGCAATGCCTGAGGTGGACAGAACGGGCTGTCAGATCCCCTGGAACTGGAGTTACGGACAGTTGTTAGCTGCCATGTGGGTGCTGGGATTCAAACCCAGGTATTCTGCAAAAGCAGCCAGTGTTCTTAACCACTGAGCCATCTCTCCAGCCCTCACGTAGATTTTTAAGAATATTCCACCATATGAGAGAACACGCATGACTGTGTTTTGCGCGTTTCACATACCATCATGCACTTCCATCTTTTCACTCAAATAATGAGATTACTTATGATGTCTGAATAATATTCCATTGTATAAATACACCACATTGTCTTTGTTCATTTGCCATTGATGGGCATCTAAACATATTTTACATCTTAGTTTCTGTGACTTAGCTGTGTGTTTTACACATAGACAATGCAGCTTTAGTAGGCTGACTTCATTCCTTTTATACCAGAAGGATAAAAGGCTAATATATAGTAGATCACTTTTAAATTAAAAGAAATCTCTACATTCTTCACCATAATAACTACATAGTATATTGTTTCTATGAACAGTGCATAAGAATTTCTTTTCCTGGTCACATTTATGAGCATTTGTTCCTTTTAAGGGTTTGTTTTAAATACCATTCTGACTGGTTATGTGGTATCTCATTGTAGCTCTGATCAACAGTTCTGTCACAGTTAATAATGAACAATTTTTCCTTGTTGGCAATGTTTACTTCTTCTTTTGAGAAGTATATTCATTTTGGCCAGTTTTGGTTGGCTTACTTGTTTTTTCTAGTATTTTGATATTTTTGCGGGGGTCTTTTTGAGACAGGGTCATCCTGTAAGCCCAGCTGTCCTAGAACTCACTATGTAGACCAGGCTGGCCTTGAACTCACAGAGATCTGCCTGCCTCTGCCTCCTGAGTGCTGGGATTAAAGGCATGTGCCACCACACTGGCTTTTGTTTTGTTTTGTTTTGTTTTATAGGCCTATCACCACCCAAACCCTACCCCCAAATAAATGTCCTCTATTATTTTTCCTATTTAAAAAAGACTTCTGGTATCTAACCTGTGTTTCCCAAATGCCCTTGGTTGTAGGTCTATCCCTTGAGCCTGGTCAGCCTACCAGGTATCACACTCCTGTAGAAAACCAAGTCACTGTCTCACAACAGCTATCAATCGCCCATAAATCTTTAGCAGGACTGGGGCTTCTTGCAACTGTACTGTGGTTTCCAGAGTACACGAATTTCTTGTGCTTCTCTACAACCTGTGGTTCTTATAATTTTTTTGCACCTTCTTCCTCAGTTATTCCTGAGTCTTGAGAGATGTGGTAATAGGTTTCTCATTGAGGGTTCAACATGCTGCAGTCTTTATGTAGTCTTGCCTCAAATAATGAACAGTTCACAACTATTTTTCTCTATTTTTGTAGGTTGTCTGCTAATTCCATTGATTATCTCTTTTCCTGTATAGAAATACTATACTTTGATAAAACTCTGTCATTTGCTTTTGTTTCTTATGCTTTGTGGGCCCTATTCAAAAATGAATTGCCTGAACCAACTGTAGTGTTTCATAGTATGGGATGGTCCTATTTGAGCTGCCAAGGGAGAATAGCAATCTGTACTCTTTCTCTACTGTGAACCACAATAACGACAGGTCCAGCCAAATATCTCTATTTGTGCAATATACAATGCTGTAGAGATCATAGACCTTAGAGGAGTACATAGCGCTGTCACTTTCCTAAATCATGGGCTGCCTAGTCCTAATGGGTACAATTACAATGAAAGAGATTTTTAAGAGATTTTTTTCACTTATTTTTCTTTATGCCTTATTTGTATATGTACTATTCTAGTGGAAGTTATAGGTGCATAATGTTTAAACATTTATGTACATTATTATTATAGTTAATTTTCATATCTAAATATTGCTCTCACTAGAGCATATTTTGTTAAGCTGTTCTGTTAGAGATTAATTTCGTCAAGCTTTTAAATCTTATCTTTCAGATTTTGTTTGGTTGTTTTATTTTGAGACAAGTTTTTGCTTGACTTTTTTTAGATATGTTTTAATTTAACTCGTACACCTACTCATTTCCAAGCTTCTATTTTACTCTTTCTCAAATTGTTTTCTACCATAAAATTTTCATTCACGTTCTTCATTGTCATGCTTACTAGTTTTAATGTTTTTCTCTGTTCTTTTGGAAACCATTGATTTAAAAAAGATTAATCTGACATTTTATCCATGCCTATATTTGGAGTTGACTATTGGAACAGTAATGAACCTCTGGCAAAATCTTGTGGCCTTATTTTTTTTTTATATTTCTGGTGTTCCTATACTGACATTTGCACATTTCTTGAATCAACTGTACCTTACCACATTTTTGGAGAGATTTTTCTCAGAAAGAGCCGCAATAGTTACTTTCTGTTGCTGTGATAAAACATCATGACCAGGGCAACTTATAGAAGAAACAGTTTATCAAGTTTATTGTTAGGTTTTAGAGTGCAGAGTACAGGAACAATAGGAGAGAAAGAAAGACACCACACGTGACCTCAGCAAAGGAGACTTTGCTTATTAGCACAGCGAGGGGCAACAACCCTCCCCCAGGATGGATGCTGCACAAGGGAGGAGGGGAATGATCAGAGATTATATAAGGTACCCCTGTCGTGGGCTATGTGTGGGTCAGGGCATTCTTGGTCCCCACAACCAGGTAAACAGATAACAAAAGTGATACAGTGCAGTATTATTTAGCCATAAATAGTGAAATCATGCCACCTGTAGGAAAATGGATAAAATTACTATTTATCGTGTTATATGAACTAAGTCAGACTTGGAAAGAGAAGTTTATGTGTTTTCTCTCATGTTTGGAATCTATAAAAAGAGGCATGAATATGGAAGTGGTGTGTTGGTGGTCAATATGATCAAGGCATATCATACTCATATATGTAAATACAATGAAATGCATTTTTTATTCAGTTATTACACAGTAACAAAAACCTAGAACACATGACTTAGTTGTCAAATAAGAATGATAGAAATTTTAGATGATATTGCAGTTCTGAACTACGAATCCTCCGCTAAGGAGGGCTTGTTGCAGCTGCGCCCTACTCCCTTATCTGTAAGTTGACCTGTGATAGGTAAAACTGTTGGAGAGAGTAGTGGATGGATGAGGCACCAAGGGACAGATAGAATTCTCAGTGGGATACAGCTTTATTTCACATGGGACACATTTCCCTCGGGGAAGGGAAAGATGTCAGCCCACGGGTTGTGAGCTGGGACTTATATATGGGGGCTTTAGGGTGTAGAAGGGGGGAGTGTTTGGGGGAAAAATCAGACAGGGGGAAGCAGGAAAAGCAGGGCTTGTAAACTTGGCTCCGTTCAGTCTGCCAGGTAGGATTAGGGTCTAGAAGTGTTTACTTTTTCCCTCTTAAGATAAGAGAAAAGCTGTTGTGATAAACAGCTTCTAAAATCTCTGGTTTACAGGTAGAATCTGCTTGTCTTATCTTTGGAGATCAGAGGAAAGGCAGGCTACTTCTCAGCAGAGTTTTTTTTCCCTTGACTTCAAAGGCCAAGGCGCTTATCAGCTCAGTTCCCTTTTTCGGGCTCCAAAAGTCTGTAGATCCCTGTTGGGGAGGGGGGAAGCTGCTGCTGTATGGACCCCTAACATTCCAGCCTTTTGTGTTATAGGATGGGGGCGCCGTTGTCATCTTGCTACTTCCTGCTGGACAGGGTCAACGTGGGGGGTAGGCTGGTTTAGGGGTCCACTAGGCAGCAGGGGTTGTCTCTCTGTGCATCTGAACAGGGTCCTCGATGGATGACAGGTGTTCGTGTACATGTGAAGGGAAGGAAAGTAACAACTGATTAAAATTAGTATGCGTTACTTTTCGGATCTGGTCCTGAAAATATCTGACAAGGCAAGGAGCAGTGCTTAGCACCAAAGTGATAGAAAGAAGGGAGCCCAATAATGGCAGAAGCCAAGGAGTTAGTCCTGTAAAAATGTCCCATTGAGATGACTGTTGGTACTGGGAATTTTTAAGTGAAAAATTTTTTGCTACCTGTTTGAGTTGTTCTATATCATGTTCGACCTTACCGGATTGGTTGATAAAATAACAGCATTCTTCACCCAGAAAAATACAGGTTCCCCCTTTTTCTGCAGTTAATAGATCCAGGGCTCGCCTGTTCTGGAGTGCAACTTCACCTTAGGGAGGATAATTGTTGTTGTAGGAACTGGATTGACTGGGCTGTAGTTTCCACTGTTGAAGTGAGCTCTTGTCTGAGGTCCTCTATTTCTTGAGAAAGATGCTGGGTTGAGATCAGCGTGTGTCCCAAGCCTCCAGCCACGAGTCCTGTGGCTGCCACTGATGCCACCAGGCTAACTCCTACCAGGACTGCCAAGGTGGCTGACCTCTTTGTTCTGGTTCCTTCTGTCCCTGTGGATAAGACATCATACACCTCTCCTGGTGTGTATAGGGTTAGTTTGGGGATGAGAATGACTGGAGCACAGGTGTCCTCAATCTGTGGAGAGATGCAGGAGTATATTTTGGAAGAACAGAGAAAGAGCAGTCCCAAAGTTAGAGCAGTATCTTCCTTAATTGTGACATTTTGGCTTGATGAGTGTGGGCATTTAGAAGTTTGTGGAGTCCAACACTCTGTTTTGTTAAGAAAAAGGAGAGGGGCAGGCATGGGCCCCTGTACTAGAAGT